TCTCGAAGAAAGCATGTTGAATGTAATAAATATTTTTTTATGAATAAAAAATTATATTACAAATAAATCGAATTATATTATAAATGATAAATAAATTGATTAATTTCAATTATGATAAAATTGTGTAAAAAAATAAATCATGTATTATAGTCTACATTAAAAAACAATTCATCAAATAAATCAATCACTCAAGCAAAAATTTAACTCAAGGCTTTGAAATGTGCCATTGAATCATTATTTGGAATATCCTTCCTTAACATTGACGGATGAATAAATTTTTAACAAATTTATATATAATATTAAATAGATTAAAAATAAAATATTACTGAAGAATCAATATCAAAATCATACACTATATCGAATCAACATATTTATCATTCATTTCGTTATACTATCATCAATATTGATTAGTTGATCATTTATAATTTAGTAATTTCAGAAGAGAATTTTGAATTATCTTGTTAAAAAATATTGGTGATCCTAAAGAAGATTAATTTTCTTGTGATAAATAAAATTTCATTTTTCCATTTTTGTTGTTTATATTATAATTTATAATATAAGTTATAATATAACTTTATTGTTTTTTTTTAAAATGATATATCATTATACGATATTAAAATAAAATGATATTTATTATTAAGCAAATATTTTTTAAATAAATTGATAATTAATCACGCTATTATATAACGAAATTTAGCTCAGATGTAGCAGATATTGCGAACGTATAATGTGACTTCGATGTAATTTTGATATCGTTAGGCCGTAACCATCGCATTTTTATTGCATTGGGCTAATACTTACATTTTAAAATATTCCATACTTATTCGCATTGTGATAAAACTCACTATATAATATTTACACTATATAATAATAGAATTAATTTATTATAAAATTTTAATAAAAATTATGAAATTAAAATATTCAAATATCCGTAAATGAAACTTCACATATGAAATTCACTGAATTTACAAATTTTTTGAGAGTTTTACTTAGTCTAAATAGTTCAAGAATTAACAAACTTTATATTTATGCTTCTTTCATCTCGAATATTGTGAATCGCGATTTTATATAAAATATTAAGCAACCAACAAGACCGCAGATCAGCAATTCTGGTTGTACGATATCTTCAACTTAAGGAAAATTCTTAGAATTAGGTTGAGAATACCGCATATAGAAACCAAGAAAATTGATCGATTATTTATAATAAATTTATTTAAGTGTATGATAATATTGTAAGTTAAGATTGACATAATTAGAAAGTTTTCTTAAAATATCAATTCAAATTATTGAAATGTATTTTTTGAAGTATTTTTAAGAAATATATAATTTTTTTTCGAAATATGTCAATTTTCGATTCACAATGTATTATGATAAAAGATATTCGCGTTGATGTTATTTGAAAGAAATATTCAGAAAAGCTATAGGATTGTATATTTCTTAAAAATTCTTCGACATAGCAAGAATATAAATGATACTTGAAATAATATTTGGCAATCTTAACGATAATCAATATCATCCTCTAAGAAATTTATTATAAACATTCGATCAATCGATCGAATCAATCGATTTCTTGGGAATGGATTCTGTGCAATATTATTCTCAGTTTAATTTTAGGAATTTTATTTAAGGAATATGCATAATCAAACTCGCTAATCCGTAATGTCGTTAGATTATGTATCTTATTGTAAAATTGCGATATGCTGAAATGAACGTGAAGAAAAGTTTTAAAGAATACAAATGTTTTTAAAAATTTAACAAAAATCAAAAGTTATAAATTTTTCAAACTATTTAGACTAAATAAAATTCAATTTTATAAATTTAGTGAATTTTGTTTTGTAATGCGTTTTGTATGCAGACAAATATAGAATATCATAACATATTTTGGATATTATTAATATTACTCTAATGCGATGGAAATGAGACAGCTGCGATCCGATCTTATCAAAAGTCACATCGAAATCATTAATAACAAAGAATTTCGAGTATTAATTACTTGTGTATATAATAAAGATAATTTAATGTCCACAAGGGTGGATCAATCGCGATACGCGATTGTTACGGATTGTTGATAATGTTTTATCAATAATAGAACATTGCAATATTAATCGTCGTCTGAAATGAATCTCAGCATAACATAACAGGATTAATTATTAATTAAAAATATTTAATGATAAATGCCTTCATTTTGTTTTAATGTTAATCAGATGATAGTGCATCATCCTAAAAAACAATATGTGCAGGTGCAAAATTTACATTCTTAGGATTATATTCAACAATTTCAATATTTGAAATAGCTATTAGAAAAATAAGCGGAATCTTTCGTTTTGTAAATATTATAGATAAATGAAATTTTATGCGCGAGAAGAATGTTACAATTATCACAATGCAAATTTGTGAAGCGAACAAAAACAATTTGTACTTCGTTTATGTTCAATATTATAGATTGACATTTATGGCGATTTTATCATTATACCATATATACTTCCTTATATTGTCCAACATATATTTCTAGAAAACGTTTTTTTGGAAAAAATTTCATTAGAGATTTAGAAGAATATGATCTTTCAACAATGGGTCATCAGTCTATAATGTTAGAAATATTAGATGAAGCCTTTCGAGACAGGTGAATTGGCTGTAGCGATATTGTAAGTATAACTCCTACGAACATTAAATGAATTCTTTAGATTTTTATTTTTTTAAAGAATGAAGAAGAGATGTATCCATCATTCATCAATATCAACGGAGAAAATAATAATGTAAATTCATGGAACATCAATATCGAATTGGTATAAAGTGTTTAATTCTTATTCGATGTGCAGAAACTTGTATAACGGCAGAAAGGATTATAAGTGATCAACTGATCAATATTGATGATAGTACAACGAAGTGAACGATAAATGTATTGATTCGATATAGTATATGTATTATTCTTTAGTAATATTTTATTTTTAATCTATTTAATGTTATGTGCAAATTTGTTAAAAATTAATTCATGTGTTCAATTTTAAAGAAAGATGTTCCAGACAATGATTCAGTGATAAATTTTAAAGCTTGAATTAAATTTTCTGTGATTGATTTTCAGTGATTGATTTATTTGATGAATTGTTTTTTAATATAGACTATAATACATAATTTTTTTATGTCACAATTTTATATATCATAATTGCAATTAATTAATTTATTCATCATTTGTAATATAATTTTTTATTTATGAAAAAATATTTATTTCATTCAATATACTTTCTTTGAGATATGTCATTTAGATTTGTGCTCGATGGCAGCATATAGCTACAATTGCGGTTCGACTAATATGATTGGCCAGTGTTTTTTGTTAATAATTCCTAACTTTAATGAACGTTTTTGCAAAGGAAAATATTTTTTGAAATTACTTCAGAATTCTCTAGTTTATGGATGTTTCCATATTTTCGGAATAGTACATATTAATATATATATATATATATATATATGAAATATAAATTATATAAAAAAAAGTTAATAAAAATAGTTCGATATAAAAAGATATAATATCATAAAAGATATATTATATCATATTAATAATTTTTCTATAAATTGTCTATAGGTCATATGAAGGTCAACTTTAATTTTTTAAATGAAATTATATGATTGTATTAATCAATGTGTGCAATGTTATTTTCTTATTTCTATAAAAGTAATTAAACTATTTTATTATCGAAAAATTTTTAATAAGAAAATATTATAATTTTACATTTATAAAATTTATATAAAAGACAAGGAGAGGATGAATAATAGAACATTACATACTTCCTATCTTTCTATGAATTTCAAATTATATCTTTTAAACTAAAGATTTCTTGATATAGCTTATTTTTACTTTACATTTTTACATAATATTACTACAAAATAATTATATAAAATAATTTTTTTTTTTAAAATAACGATGTATGTATTTTGCAATAAAAATTATATTTTTATAATTTTATAGTTTTATTTATTTATTGCTAAACGAAGTTACGAATTATATTTTGTATAAAATGATGTGTATATGATCTGTACGATCCGTATTATACATATATTGAACTATAGAAAAATTATTAATATTATATAATGTATGTATGTATATATGTCTTTTTATATAATTTTTATTGAATATTTTTCATTTTACTCATATTTTTGAGATATTTAAACAGTTCAAAAT